AATGCAACGCCGAGGAAGAGGAGGCGAAACTGACCAAACGGAAATCCTCCAAGAAAAAAAGAGCCCCCAAACCGCCCGTAAACTTAAAACCACCGGTGATTCTGATAGAAGGAAGGAGGAAAGATGAGTGGAGGGAGGGAGAGAAGAAGGATGGAGAGAAGAGAGAGGGACAGAGGAGGGAGGGAGAGGGGGAGCAGATAGAGGAGAGAGAGGAAGAGGAGATGAGGAGAGGCTCTCGGTCTCCGGTCATACAGAGGAAGAAGAGCGCGATCCGGCCCTTTAAGAAGCCGGGATGGTGCGGAGGATCCAGCAAACACGACTGAAGCTAAAGGCTAACACGTGCTAACAACTTACTAACCAGTGTTGCCCAATACATGTATCGAAAACTCCGGACTTCAGGTCATCGCACAATTTATACTGGGAAGGATCCTCCGAAAAAGTGATCATCAAACCTCCATGTTTGTTTTCCCAGTGGGACGTGTCTGTTGTCAAAGTCGATCTTTTCAAGTCTTTTGAACCATTTCACTTTTGTTTCTGGTTCTGATATTGTCATATTTTAGTTTTGGGATTCGGACATTGTTAATTGTTGTGGTTGTTGGATCCAAACAGCGGAAAACGACTCAAGAAATGTGTTTGTGAACTTCATAAATACAAAAGTGAATCAGATGTGTGTGACTCAAACCTCCGTTCAAACTGTTTCTCTTCCCAACGGAATTGAAAAATAGTGAAAGGTGAAGGTGATGGGCAGGATTGATCCACAGGAAGAAACAAAAAGGAAACATTTGTCTGAGTAAGAAATCATCCCGAGTTTACAGAGAACATTTTGTATGTGGAGTAACGACAAAACAAAATCCCGTTTGTTAATGTAGAGGAGCAGAAGACAAACAGACCGAGCTGCACTTTCTTGTTCGTGTGGTTTTACACAAACATCAAGTCTTGGTCTCTTTGCAGTGGAAGTTGTTTCTTGGTGAACAGTTGGAGACTTTCACTTTGGCGTTGACATTTTAAATTCGTAACTGAGGTTGAGCGAAGAATCAGGATTTTGTTTTGTCGTCGCTCCACATACAAAATGTTCTCTGTAAACTCGGGATGATTTCTTAGTCAGACAAATGTTTCCTTTTTGTTTCTTCCTGTGGATCAATCCTGCCCATCACCTTCACCTTTCACTATTTTTCAATTCCGTTGGGAAGAGAAACAGTTTGAACAGAGGTTTGAGTCACACACATCTGATTCACTTTTGTATTTATGAAGTTCACAAACACATTTCTGGAGTCATTTTCCGCTGTTTGGATCCAACAACCACAACAATTAACGATGTCCAAATCCCAAAACTAAAATATGACAATATCAAAACCAGAAAAGTGATATGGTTCAAAAGACTTGAAAAGATCGACTTTGACAATAGACACGTCCCACTGGGAAAACAAACATGGAGGTTTGATCATCACTTTTTCAGAAAATCCTGCCCAGTATAAAATGTGCGATGACCGGAAGTCTGGAATTCAGGATGTGTGTATACGAGCTTCTTTTACGTTGGGACGTTGGGTGGGGAGGGGAAGCCTTAGGTGGGTGCAGATCATATTTGGGCGACTTTCAACATTTTTTTTTTTTTTTGTCTCTGTGAGTCGTTGGAATAATCTGCCGACAGAGACTCAAAACTGCACAGGGTTTCAAATGTTTACACTTTTGACAAAGAAGTGACCGATCTCTAAACAAGTTTGTGCAAGTTATGGACGAGTGGTGTTTGAATGATCAGTACAATGTAGAATGTAAACAGTCTATGTTCAGACTGTGTACAGTCTATGTTCAGAACATACATGCTCTTTGTTCAGAACATACACGCTCTTTGTTCAGAACATACACGCTCTTTGTTCAGAACATACACGCTCTTTGTTCAGAACATACACGCTCTTTGTTCAGAACATACACATTCTTTGTTCAGAACATACACTCTTTGTTCAGAACATACACGCTCTTTGTTCAGAACATACACGCTCTTTGTTCAGAACATACACATTCTTTGTTCAGAACATACACGTTCTTTGTTCAGAACATACACGCTCTTTGTTCAGAACATACACGCTCTTTGTTCAGAACATACACGCTCTTTGTTCAGAACATACACATTCTTTGTTCAGAACATACACGTTCTTTGTTCAGAACATACACGCTCTTTGTTCAGAACATACACGTTCAGAACATACACATTCTTTGTTCAGAACATACACATTCTTTGTTCAGAACATACACGTTCTTTGTTCAGAACATACACGCTCTTTGTTCAGAACATACACATTCTTTGTTCAGAACATACACGGTCTACGTTCAGAGGTTCAGTTCAGGTCCGGTTCTGTTTTGATTTTCAGGTTCTGTGTTTTCTGTTCTTGTCGTAGTCGAGGTTTTAGTCGAAAACTGATGATTTTCATTTTTAAACGTGATGAAATCTCTGTTCTACATTTTACCAAAGGTTTTACAGAACATGTTTCCTCAATCTGCCAATGATTTTAAAAAGACAAATATTCTGCTAAACTAGGGCGACCAAATGTCCGTTTTTCACGTCCTGTCCTGGGCGTCCGTTTTTTTTTTTTTAAAGTGATGTAAATGTTCAGGTTTTCATTTCCTTTCATTGGGTCTTTAAACTGAGCGTCTCTCGTCGCGTCTGTGACTCAGAAGGAGCGAGACACAAACAGTGGGTCAGTCTGAAACACGCCGAAGCACAAATGCACATTTAACGATGACTTGGACAAGAAATTCTCTGTTTTCCGTCTCGGTCGGGACAAGTGTGAGTCCATGTGCACAGTTTGTGAGGTGAGAGTAGCTCAATGTCGAGGCTCCACCCCCCAGCCCCGGTCAGGTGGTTTCACAAACAGAAAAATGGTCACTGTACGTTAAACAACATTTTTTTCTGTGATAAATGAAAATGCTGTTTTACATTGAACATGTTTCTCAATACTGACAAAGTTTTTTTAAAAAAAAAAAAAACCCGACATTGAATCACACGTTTAGTCAACGATTTAATGTTTTCAGTGACAAATGTTGTTGGGTGTTTTTTGGTTGATGAGGACGTGTTTTTTGAACGTGTCTGGACAGAAATCACTTGACCCTATCTGACAACACTGATGCTAACACGTGCTAACAACATGCTAACAACATGCTAACAACATGCTAACAAGACGCGAGTGATGTGTGATTAAAATCTCTGCACCTGATTAAAAAAATATTCACAGTGGTGGAAGAAGAACTCTGTTTTGACTCAAGTAAAAGTAAAAGTATCAATAAAAAAATCACACTTCCAGAGTAAAAAGTAAAAGTATTTTGTTTGAATTTTGAGTTTTTTTAAGACTTCAAATGTCGTGATTTTGATTCAGATTTGGTCTGAAACGTCTGAAGCAACAGTTTGTTTTTTTTCCAGCTGTTTTTATCTGTATGTTTTTGTTGTTTAAATTATGAACATGTTAAAAAATAAACCATTTAGAATCTGCTGTTTTATATTGTCCACGTGTTTCTCTTTGTCTTTTGTTCAAGATTCTACATTCTGTTATTTTATTTTAACTTCCTGTTTTAATTATTTTGTTTACACACAAAACGGAAAAAAGAACAAAATAATAAGTGTTGTAGCGGCCGAACTCGCCCTCTGCAGGTCGGTCTTGGCTGCAGTGTGTGTGTGTCTCAGACGTGTGTCTTTATAAAAAAGTCCAAATATTGTGTTTCTCAGTTTTTTGGTGAAACTTACAGACACCAAAAATACACAGGATCAGAACAGACGACGGTTAAAGACTAAACCTTCACACTGCAACACCTCAGTGTGTTTCTCCCTCCTTATATAGAGCAGTAAAACAGCGCCACACAGTGGTGGGAGGTGGAGGTGTAATATGGCTCCAACAGTGGAGGTCATAAGATGAAGTGAGGTTCAGGAGCAGGACCAGGACCCGACCGATTTTGTGTTTAAATGAAAAATGGAAAAAACAGATAACGGACGTTTCCCGTTTACGTGACTTCAGTGACTGTGATGCTGGACTGAACCAGGACTGAACCAGGACTGAACCAGGACTGATCCAGGACTGATCCAGGTCCAGGACCAGACCGGGACCACACCGGTCTTAGTCCCGTTCTGGTCCCGGACCTGGATCAGTCCTGGTTCAGTCCTGGTTCAGTCCGGCATCACAGTCACAGAAGTCACGTAAATGGTCATTATCCATTTTTTCCATTTTTCATTTAAACACAAAATCGAAAACTGAAAAAACAAATCATTGTCTGTTTTTTTATTTTGGTTTTGGAGACAAATAATGAAGAAAACTGTTGTTTTTTTGTTTTCTTATTTTTGGTTTTATATTGAAAAATGAACGAATGATACACAGATTGTCTCGTCTCCCTCAGGTTAAACAAACCCTCGATGACTGAGGAGAACGACGGACCAGCTTCATTTAAAACCTGAAACAAGTGAAAAGTGAAGTTTGAGTCGTTTACAGAGAGAACAGACGCTTCACTTTCACAGACGCTTCACTTTCACAGACGCTTCACTTTCACAGACGCTTCACTTTCACACAGACGCTTCACTTTCACAGACGCTTCACTTTCACAGACGCTTTCCACTTTCACAGACGCTTCACTTTCACAGACGCTTCACTTCACAGACGCTTCACTTTCACAGACGCTTCACTTTCACAGACGCTTCACTTTCACAGACGCTTCACTTTCACAGACGCTTCACTTTGTAGATCTGCTGATAAACAACCTGGAGTCGAGCAGAACAATGAATTCAGAATAAAAAAAACGTCACATAAACATGTCTAACTTTTTCTGACCAATCATAAGTCTTGGTGTAAAAGTGGGCGGGGTCAGAGCGGCGGTCGTGCTGTTGTTCTGTTCTCTGAGGTCGTTTGGAGGTCAGAGTTCAGGTTCAGGGTTAAATGTTGTTGTTGTTTACCTGCTGCCGTCCCTTTTGTCTCCTCTGTGTGTCAAAACTGCTGATACTCGACCCACAATGCACCTGGGCGCCTCCGAACCCTCCAGCGCTGCCTTTGTGCCGTCGAGCCTCTGTATTTAAGCGCGCGGCCTCGGAGCGCGGCTGATTTCACCCCGAGGCGACCATGGCCCCAGAACCCCCCCCTCGTCTGCTCCGCGCGCTGCTCCTGCTGCTGCCGCTGCTCTTGAGCAACACACCAGCGACGCAGACCCACACCCTGAGCCCCGGAAGAGAACCACAGCACAAGATCCTGCACCTGGGTGAGACCGACACCCGACCAAACACTTCAACATTTAAACACTTCAACATTTAAACACTTCAACATTTAAACACTTCAACATTTAAACACTTCAACATTTAAACACTTCAACATTTAAACACTTCAACATTTAGATTTGTCCAGAATGTTCCACACTGTGACTTTAAAGCATTTTATCTCCAGAGAGACTAAACCAGACCAAGATCCAGGTCAGATCTGTGGAGAGGCGACGCCGCTCACAGTCAGAATGTCTGTTTTTTTGAGGTTTAGACCTGGTTTAGTCCTGGTTTAGTCCTGGTTTAGTCCTGGTCCAGTTCTGGTTTTGTCCTGGTTTAGTCCTGGTCCAGTTCTGGTTTAGTCCAGGTTTAGTCCTGGTTTAGACCTGGTTTAGTCCAGGTTTAGTCCTGGTTTAGTCCCGGTCCAGTTCTGGTTTAGTCCTGGTTTAGACCTGGTTTAGTCCAGGTTTAGTCCTGGTTTAGACCTGGTTTAGTCCTGGTCCGGTCCTGGTTTAGTCCAGGTTTAGTGCTGGTTTAATGATTTGTCTGGAATGTTTCACAGTGTGGCTTTAAATCTTTCTATCTCCATGGAGACCAAACTAGACACAGTCAGAGGTCAGATCTGTGGAGAGGAGAGTCGTGTTTCTGACTCTAAATCCTCCTGTGATTGAATAAATGTAAAGTGGAGCTGTTTAAAGTCACACTGTGGAACATTCCAGACAGACCAGTGACGTCTCCATAGAAACAAACAGGTGACAGACTCCACCAGAAAGTTCCACAGTGCAGCTTTAAGATAAAAACAATGATTATTTCTGTCTTTAAAAACAGACTTTTTAACATGAGAATTTAAAAAAAGTTTTTTTTAGATCAGAGCTGGAGTCGTTCACACGTTTAACAAACTGAAAACACTCTGTTCCACCTTGTGATGTCATCATGTGGTGATACAGGAAGTGCTCCACTGTGTTTTTAAACTCCACACACCTTCACTAGAATCGTTCAGGAGAGATTAGGAAATACAAATGTGACTTTATCCAAATGAAACATAAAAGGAGCTGCTCACCTGAAAACTCCCACCTCATGACATCACAGGGTGGAGCAGAGTGTTTGGAGCTTTGCAGATTTAGACTCATAATAAAGATTTACTCAAACAAAACAGAACAGCAGCTCTGAGTTCTTCTTCTTCTTCTTCTTCTTCTTCTTCTTCTTCTTCTTCTTCTTCTTCTTCTTCTTCTTCTTCTTCTTCTTCTTCTTCTTCTTCTTCTTCTTCTCTTCTTCTTCTTCTTCTTCTTCTTCTTCTTCTTCTTCTTCTTCTCCTTCTTCTTCTTCTTCTTCTTCTTCTGCAGACTGGCCGTCCGACTGTGGGACGCCTCATTTCAAACCAAACATGGCCGAGAGAATCGTGTCCGGGAACGAAGCTCGACCGCACTCCTGGCCCTGGCAGGTCTCACTGCAGGTACTACAAATACTACAAATACTACAAATACTACAAATACTACTACAGAGTACTACACAGGTGTAGCACTCTGTATAAATATTACTACTACTACTACTACTACTCCTGTCTGTCCCAGGTTTGTCCTCGTGGTTCTAAACACGACATCCATAAATACTACAGTACACAGAGTACACAGAGTACACACAGAGTACACAGAGTACACAGAGTACACACAGAGTACACAGAGTACACAGAGTACACAGAGTACACAGAGTACACACAGAGTACACAGAGTACACAGAGTACACACAGAGTACACAGAGTACACAGAGTACACACAGAGTACACAGAGTACACAGAGTACACAGAGTACACACAGAGTACACAGAGTACACACAGAGTACACAGAGTACACACAGAGTACACACAGAGTACACAGAGTACACACAGAGTACACACAGAGTACACAGAGTACACAGAGTACACAGAGTACACACAGAGTACACAGAGTACACAGAGTACACACAGAGTACACAGAGTACACAGAGTACATACAGAGTACATACAGAGTACACAGAGTACACAGAGTACACACAGAGTACACACAGAGTACACACAGAGTACACACAGAGTACACACAGTACTGCAGATATATTGACATGTTCTTGTCTCTCAGGTTCGTCCTCGTGGATCTAAACATCACATCCATGTTTGTGGAGGAACTTTGATCCACAAGAACTGGGTCCTGACGGCTGCACACTGTTTCCAGAAGTACGTACAGAATACTGCCTATCTACAGAGTACTACAGAGTACTACAGAGTACTACAGAGTACTACAGTACTACAGTACTACAGTACTACAGAGTACTACAGAGTACTACAGAGTACTACAGTGTACTACAGAGTACTACAGAGTACTACAGTGTACTACAGAGTACTACAGAGTACTACAGAGTACTACAGAGTACTACAGAGTACTACAGAGTACTACAGTGTACTACAGTGTACTACAGTGTACTACAGTGTACTACAGAGTACTACAGTGTACTACAGAGTACTACAGAGTACTACAGAGTACTACAGTACTACAGAGTACTACAGTGTACTACAGTGTACTACAGAGTACTACAGAGTACTACAGAGTACTACAGAGTACTACAGAGTACTACAGAGTACTACAGTGTACTACAGAGTACTACAGTGTACTACAGTGTACTACAGAGTACTACAGAGTACTACAGTAGTGGTTGGTTTCAGATTGTAGAATGAGCAGGTGTTGTACTCGGGGGGTCAGTCAGTTTGATCAGTTTGATCAGTTTGATCAGTTTGATCAGTTTGTCACATTTTACTTTACCATAAAATATCCAAAAGGTAAAAGCACAAATGTTGAACCTGCTGTTTTCAGTGATTATTATTATTATTATTATTATTATTATTATTATTATCATTATTATAAACTCAACTCAAGATTTCCCTCTATTACAACATGTTTTTGCATTTTAATAATTTTAATTTTAGCTGCCTCCAACTTATATTGGCCTTTTGTGATGTCATCTGAAACCCAACAATACTACAGTACTACTACAGTACTACTACAGTATACTGCAGTATATATATATATATATATAGAGAGAGAGTAAAGTATATACTATACTGTAAATACAGGGCATCCTCAGGTTTGACTGACCCAAACTGAAGACTTTTAAAGACCTTTTTAAAACCATTTGAATGAAAATTAAGACCAACATCACCTCCAATATTCAGGCGAAAAACACCAGGTTTAATTCTAATAAAAACGACCATTTCTCACTGATTTAAATAACAAAAATACTTATTCAGAACTCGTTTATAGTCGTTTGCGTCACTTTAAAATGGCCCAAAAAATCATTTATAACATTTTAACAGACAAACTAAGTATCGTTTGTTCAAACTCCAGATGAGACGTTCGTTCCCGTTTTTAAGGCCTTAATTTAGGAACGTGACATTTAAAACCTTTTAAAGACTTTTAAAACCCCGCGGCTGCACAGTCACAAATGACTCTAGTGGTGTGTGGATTTTAAAAACACAGTGGAGCAGGAAGGTGGAAGGTGGAACAGAGTGTTTTGAGTTTGAGAGAAAAACTCGTGTTAAATGTGCAGAAACAAATGAAACAAAACACGAGTCCAGAGGAAACGACTGAAAACAGAAAAGAAGGGATTTTATATGAATCTGATAAACCTGTCCCCCTGTCCCTCTGTCCCCCTGTCCTTCTGTCCCTCTGTCCCTCTGTCCCTCCTGTCCCTCTGTGTCTCTTGTCTCTGTGTCTCTTGTCTCTTCTGTCTCTGTGTCTCCGTGTCTCCGTGTCCCTCTGTCCCTCAGGGGGAAGGCGGAGGAGGCCGGCAGCTGGAGGATCGTTTTGGGGAAACACAAACTGAAACGTTCTGAAACGGCCGAGAGGATTTTCCCGGTGAAGCGGATTTACCGTCACGAGAACTTCCGTTACCCGACGCACAGCGAACTGGACTACGACATCGCCCTGGTCAAAGCCGCCGCCGACATCCACCCGTCCCACGCCATCCGCTACGCCTGCCTGCCGCGCAAACACCTGAGCCTGCAGCCCGGACACTACTGCTGGGTCACCGGCTGGGGGACACGCGGGGTAAGAGACGCACCGGGGGGGGACACGCGGGTAAGAGACGCACCGGGGGGGGGGACACGCGGGGTAAGAGACGCACCGGGGGGGGGACACGCGGGGTAAGAGACGCACCGGGGGGGGGGGGGGGCACGGGGTAAGAGACGCACCGGGGGGGGACACGCGGGGTAAGAGACACACCGGGGGGGGGGACACGCGGGGTAAGAGACGCACCGGGGGGGGGGACACGGGGTAAGAGACACACCGGGGGGGGGGACACGCGGGGTAAGAGACGCACCGGGGGGGGGGGACACGCGGGGTAAGAGACGCACCGGGGGGGGGACACGCGGGGTAAGAGACGCACCGGGGGGGGGGACACGCGGGGTAAGAAGAGCACCGGGGGGGGGGGGGACGCGGGGTAAGAGACGGGGGGGGACACGCGGGGTAGACGGGGGGGGACGCGGGTAAGAGAGCACCGGGGGGGGGGGACACGCGGGGTAAGAGACGCACCGGGGGGGGGACACGCGGGGTAAGAACGCACCGGGGGGGGACACGCGGGGTAAGACCGGGGGGGGGACACGCGGGGTAAGCACCGGGGGGGACGGGGGACACGACCGGGGTAGAGACGGGGGGGACACACCGGGGGGGGGACACGCGGGGTAAGACGCACCGGGGGGGGACACACCGGGGGGGGACACGCGGGGTAAGAGACACACCGGGGGGGGGGGGGGGGGACACGCGGGGTAAGAGACGCACCGGGGGGGGGGGACACGCGGGGGTAAGAGACGCACCGGGGGGGACACGCGGGTAAGAGACACACCGGGGGGGGGGGACACGCGGGGTAAGAGACGCACCGGGGGGAGGGGGGGGGACACGCGGGGTAAGACACACCGGGGGGGGACACGCGGGGTAAGAGACGCACCGGGGGGGGGGGGGGGACACGCGGGGTAAGAGACGGGGGGGACACACCGGGGGGGGGGGGGGACACGCGGGGTAAGAGACGACCGGGGGGGGGGACACACCGGGGGGGGGGACACGCGGGGTAAGAGACGCACGGGGGGGACACACCGGGGGGGGGACACGCGGGGTAAGAGACGCACCGGGGGGGGGGGACACGCGGGGTAAGAAACACACCGGGGGGGGGACACGGGGGGACACGGGGTAAGACACCGGGGGACACCGGGGGGGGACACGCGGGTAAGAGACACACCGGGGGGGGGGGGGGACACGCGGGGTAAGAGACGCACCGGGGGGACACACCGGGGGGGGGGGGGGGGGGGGACACGCGGGGTAAGAGACACACCGTGGGGGGGGGGACACACGGGGTAAGGACCTGGGGGACACGAGGGGTTAGGACAGAGGAGGGACTGAACCATGTCTGGATCAGGTCTAAACAAGGACCACCTACAAAGACCAACTGTCCCACGGTGGGTTCACATTTACACATAAAACTGGGACTAAATTCAGAACAAATCCTGGACTAGACCAGAACCAAACCAGGTCTACATCTGGACTAAACTCAAACCAGGACCAAACCAGGACAAGTGGAAATGCAACTTAAACCAGGACTTCTTTAGTACCTGGACTAAATCAGGTTTAACCCCGGTCTGACCCGGTCTGACCCGGTCTGACCCCGGTCTGACCCCGGTCTGACCCGGTCTGACCCCGGTCTGACCCGGTCTGACCCGGTCTGACCCGGTCTGACCCGGTCTGACCCGGTCTGACCCGGTCTGACCCCGGTCTGACCCGGTCTGACCCCGGTCTGACCCGGTCTGACCCGGTCTGACCCGGTCTGACCCGGTCTCTGGTCCTCAGGGGGAAAGGAGAACGTGTCTCTGGCGGAGGCGCTGAATCAGGCTCGTCTCCCGATCATCGACTTTAAAACGTGTCGACAGAAGAAGTTCTGGGGCGACCGAGTTCGAGACTCGATGATCTGTGCAGGATTCAGAGACACGGAAGATCCACCTGCAGCCTGCCAGGTACGAGACTCCGCCTCCCCTGCTCTCTCTCCCTCTCTCCCCCTGCAGCCTGCCAGGTACGAGACTCCGCCTCCCCTGCTCTCTCTCCCTCTCTCCCCCTGCAGCCTGCCAGGTACGAGACTCCGCCTCCCCTGCTCTCTCTCCCTCTCTCCCCCTGCAGCCTGCCAGGTACGAGACTCCGCCTCTGATCTGATCTGGTTTCCGTTGGCGCTGGTTCAGAGTTGGTTGAGAAATGAGAATCACGTCCAGTGAAAAACTCAACCTTAAGACATTTCATATTTAAGACATTTAAGAAACTGATGGAAGCAGCAAAGTCAAGTCGATTAAACAGAGAAAAACACCAAACCGTTACTATGGCAACAGACACCAGCTCTTCTCTGGTGTCAGTTCGTGCTGCTCAGGGTTCACTCTTTTTCACCAATATTTCAAAATTTTTCCATGACTTTTTCCTGCACTAAAATGATTTTTCCATGACTTTCCAGCACCTGCATGTGTAGAATTGATCATAGTTTTAGTGTAAATCTAAAATGTTTAACTCTTTCCACTTTATGGTTTTTTAACATTTTAAATCCTGTCAGTGTGTTTATTTTCGTCAGTTTTAAACAAAAGACTCATGAAAACTGAACACAACACTGGAGCGAAGGAAACGGAGACTAAAATTCCATGACTTTTCCAGGATTTCCATGACCGTGGGAACAATGACTGCAGCTCAGCCCAATCTCTCTCTCTCCACACTCTCTTCCTCTCTCATCCCTCTCTTCTTCTCGTCTTCCGCAGGGGGACTCGGGGGGGCCTCTCTCCTCCTCTCTCATCCCTCTCTTCTTCTCGTCTTCCGCAGGGGGACTCGGGGGGGCCTCTCCTCCTCTCTCATCCCTCTCTCTTCTCGTCTTCCGCAGGGGGACTCGGGGGGGGGGGGCTCTCCTCCTCTCTCATCCCTCTCTTCTTCTCGTCTTCCGCAGGGGGACTCGGGGGGCCTCTCCTCCTCTCTCATCCCTCTCTTCTTCTCGTCTTCCGCAGGGGGACTCGGGGGGGCCTCTCCTCCTCTCTCATCCCTCTCTTCTTCTCGTCTTCCGCAGGGGGACTCGGGGGGGGCCTCTCCTCCTCTCTCATCCCTCTCTCTTCTTCTCGTCTTCCGCAGGGGGACTCGGGGGGCCTCTCCTCCTCTCTCATCCCTCTCTTCTTCTCGTCTTCCCGCAGGGGGACTCGGGGGGCCTCTCCTCCTCTCTCATCCCTCTCTTCTTCTCGTCTTCCGCCGCAGGGGGACTCGGGGGGGCCTCTCCTCCTCTCTCATCCCCTCTCTTCTTCTCGTCTTCCGCAGGGGGACTCGGGGGGCCTCTCCTCCTCTCTCATCCCTCTCTTCTTCTCGTCTTCCGCAGGGGGACTCGGGGGGCCTCTCTTCCTCTCTCATCCCTCTCTCTCTTCTTCTCGTCTTCCGCAGGGGGACTCGGGGGGGCCTCTCCTCCTCTCTCATCCCTCTCTTCTTCTCGTCTTCCGCAGGGGGACTCGGGGGGTCCTCTCCTCCTCTCTCATCCCTCTCTTCTTCTCGTCTTCCGCAGGGGGACTCGGGGGGGCCTCTCTTCCTCTCTCATCCCTCTCTTCTTCTCGTCTTCCGCAGGGGGACTCGGGGGGGCCTCTCCTCCTCTCTCATCCCTCTCTTCTTCTCGTCTTCCGCAGGGGGACTCGGGGGGTCCTCTCTTCCTCTCTCATCCCTCTCTTCTTCTCGTCTTCCGCAGGGGGACTCGGGGGGGGCCTCTCCTCCTCTCTCATCCCTCTCTTCTTCTCGTCTTCCGCAGGGGGACTCGGGGGGGCCTCTCCTCCTCTCTCATCCCTCTCTTCTTCTCGTCTTCCGCAGGGGGACTCGGGGGGGCCTCTCTTCCTCTCTCATCCCTCTCTTCTTCTCGTCTTCCGCAGGGGGACTCGGGGGGGGCTCTCTCTCCTCTCTCATCCCTCTCTTCTTCTCGTCTTCCGCAGGGGGACTCGGGGGGGCCTCTCCTCCTCTCTCATCCCTCTCTTCTTCTCGTCTTCCGCAGGGGGACTCGGGGGGGCCTCTCTTGTGTCAGTTGGATCGCGATCGCTGGGAGGTTCACGGTGTCGTCAGTTTTGGTCCGATCGGCTGCACCGTCGAAAACAAACCCAGCGTCTTCACCAGAACCACGGCCTACATCCCCTGGATCGAGGCCACGCGCATCCGGGACTTTTTCCTCCACTGAACCAGGACCAGGATCACGACCGAGACCAGGACCAGAACCAGACCAGGACCAGGACCAGAACCACGACCAGGAACAGAAACTGGACCAGAACCAGGACCAGCGCCTACATCCCCTGGATCGAGGTCACGCACATCCGGGACTTCTTCCTCCACTGACCAGGACCAGGACCAGGACCAGGACCAGAACCAGAACCAAGACCAGGAGCAGGGCCAGGAGCACGTCTACATCCCCTGGATCGAAGCCACACACATCAGGGACATTTTCCTCCACTGAACCTGAACCAGGACCAGGACCAGGATCAGGACTGGACCAAGACTGGACCAGGACCAGGACTGAACCAAGACTGGACCAGGACCACTGCTCACATCCCCTGGATCAAGGCCACGTGCATCAGGGACATTTTCCTCCACTGAACCAGGACCAGAGTCAGAACCAAGACTGAACCAGAACTAAACCAGGACTAAACCAGATCTAAACCAGGACTAAACCAGATCTAGAACAGATCTTAAACAGCTTCATTGAACCAAGTCAAAGCTGAACCAGAGACTTTTACCACAGGGTCTAAACCAGGACTAAACCAGATCTAAACCAGGACTAAACCAGATCTAAACTAGGACTAAACCAGATCTAAACCAGGTCTACACCAGGACTAAACCAGGACTAAACCAGATCTAAACCAGGGACTAAACCAGGTCTGAACCAGGACTAGACCAGGGATTAAACCAGGTCTAAACCAGGACTAAACCAGGGACTAAACCAGGTCTAAACCAGGTCTAAACCAGGACTAAACCAGGTCTTCTTCCACCACAGAAAAACATCCCTGGATTTAAATTCATGTTCAACTTTTGTTACTGTAAGAAAAATAAACATTTATAAAAAGTACATTTGTGGACTTTTTAAAAAATTTAATAAGTTTTTGAATATTTTTTTGAACATTCGTACATTTCTCCTTTTTCACGATTAACACGCTGTAAATCCAGTTTTGAATCACTGTTTAATCATATATTTATATTCCAAAGTTCATATAACACGAGTTCACACATTCACAGATCCTCTCGTTTCCTTCGCTCGTGTTTCAGACGAACTCGAGCGTTTCAGTTTCCGTTTCCGTCTCAGTTCGCTTCGTTTTTTTGGCCCTCGATGAAAAAGGGGCGGGGCCAAGGCAACAAAACTCACAATTATTCTTTTATTCTAAGTTTGGATTTTAACGACATTTTGAGTGGATTTACATCACCTCCTTTAAGCTCAAGCTTCACTGTGGTTGGTCAGATCCACCTGTCAATCACAATCACTGACGAAGGACGGCCAATAGGGAGAGAGGGGGGCGTGTCCGTAAGCAGAGTTTGAAAAGGGCCCAGGAGCGATGTGGCTACAGAAGAGTCTGACCAAGTGACTGAAGAACGCACAAATGTGTACAGGAGAGTTTTGTCATGTTTATGTATTAAGGTCAGATTTGAGCTGTAGAGGGGAGAATACATGACTGCTACGGCTGATTATTCGTTCATTTTCCTGTTTTATCTGGTGCATCTCAAGACTTAATGACACTATAGGTTTACGGTTCACTGGGAGAGTCCGGATTATTGTTATTGTGACAGAAGTTTTAAAAATTACAGTTTATCAAAGTATTTATCAGTGACAGGAGTGACCGAACGACCACAGAATCAGTCTTCATTTTGTCTGGTTGTTGGCCCCGCCCCTTCGAGCGGGTGTGTCTGTGGCCCCGCCCCTTCGAGCGGGTGTGTCTGTGGCCCCGCCCCTTCGAGCAGGTGTATGTATCTGGCCCCGCCCCTTCGAGCCCCGCCCCTTCGAGCAGGTGTGTCTGTGGCCCCGCCCCTTCGAGCAGGTGTGTCTGTGGCCCCGCCCCTTCGAGCAGGTGTATGTATCTGGCCCCGCCCCTTCGAGCGGGTGTGTCTGTGGCCCCGCCCCTTCGAGCAGGTGTGTCTGTGGCCCCGCCCCTTCGAGCAGGTGTAAGTGTCCATGTGCAGAAGTCCCGGTCGGGTCAGTAGAGCCGGGACGGGGCAGAGGAGCCCGTCAGATGGTCCCAGTTGTTGTAAAGCGCGTAGGCCCCGGACAGAGCGAGCCCCACGAGCCCGCCGCGCGCCGCTCCCCTCAGACCACCTGCAGGGGGCGCAACAAAGACGACAGGTCAGAGGAGGCAGCTGAGTAAACACGACACAAACAAGAGAAGAAACACAGGAACAAACACGACCACAAAGTGAAACGAGACAAATATAAAAGCAGGAACCTGGAGAGACGGGACGCACAATGAATTTATATAAAGACAAAGAGTTTGATCTGACTTTTTTACAGAGAAATAACATAAAATACTAAATCTTGAGCTCAAACTCTCTTCTCTTTTCTGCTGCTGTTTCATAAAAATCCTGATCATCTAAAGAACTGGATGAATTGACTAAGACACAATCGACTCTACAGCCCGACTCTGAATAAAACTGGAGGATAAATGAGAAGGAAAACAATTCTAACATGGTCAAAAGAGGATTCTGCAAAATAAATATCCTTTAAAAATTGTATATTGATGTCCCCTCATCTGAAACACACATGTTTTAGTTCATTGATCTTTTATTTAAGTGCACATCTTGCTCTCCATATCCAGAAGAATCGAGAAAAAGACTAAAATCTGAACTGAAACTGACAAACTAATACAAGACTCACATTTAGAACATGTTTGTACAGATCTAAACTACAGGGTTAGATGTTTTTATGCAGAATAACACGGGAGATTTTGTTGTTTGTGGAGGAAAAGGTGGGACTTCTCACTGAAGCTTGTGTGATTTGGAGACTTGTGCATTAGTGCTGCCACCACAGACAGACGTGTAGCTTTAATAATATCAACTCTTCACTGAACGTCCAGGACTTTTTCACGAGCTAAAGTGAATTTTCCATGATTTTCCAGCTCCTACATGTGTAGAACTGATCAGACTTTTAGGTCTAAATCTGAAATGTGAAACTCTTTCCACTTATGGTTTGGGATTATAGTTTTTGAACATTTAAAATCCTGTCAGTGCATTTATTGTCGTCTCTTTAAAACAAAAGACTCAGATTAGGGACGGGCAATCGGTGAAATTTTCTTAATCGATCGTCGGAAGAATTAAGGATCGATTATCGATTAATCATGAATGTTTTTATATTAAATGATCATCATTATTATTACTATCTGCACTAATCTGCATAAATAAATTCAACTTTACGACATATAAACATAACGACTCTAGATCCACATCAGCTGTTTGACATTATAATGTGTTTAATTCAGTTTTGTTCAAATCTCACAGAAACAAAACTTAAAACCACATCACTAATTTACATAAACTAAGTGAAGATAAAACTCCAGCTCTTGTGTCGCTGATGTGGTTCAACTTGTGTTGGATTAAAAGACATGACTCAGGTGAATACAGGTCAGTGTGACCAGATTTGTGTTTGTCAAAACCAGGACAGCGTACGGGGGGAGGGGGGCGGGGCCTCGTCATCCACATTGAGCGACTCTCACCTGGAAAAACTTTTTCCCACTGGACACAGAAACATATGTGCTGCTTTATCCACTGTGCACATGGACTCACACTTGTCCCAACGCAACGGAAAGTGTGGAATTTCTTCTACAAATCATCGTTGCACATCGTTCGCGTTTGCACTTCAGTACACTGCAGACTGTTTGTGTCTCGCTCCTTCTGAGTGCAGAGAGCTTCACGTACTGACCCTGTTTGGTCACTCTACGCTACGCACAGCAACCTACATTCGGTTTGTCGATTAAAATGAACGTAATCGATGAAATTCTTAATGATCAATTATCGATTAATCGGCTAATCATGCCCATCCCTAACTCAGACGTTCACAAATAAGATCAGAACAGACTCATGAGAAGTGAACAGAACACTGGAGCGGAGGGAAAGACATGTGGGAACCCTGTAGTAAGTTTTCCAAAAGGACGACATTATTATAGAGCGACAGGAGGATTGGAGGAGGGTTGAAAGGGTAGACAGAAAACCTACTTTAATGATTCTGAGAAATTCAAGCGTTTCTGCTACACTTTATGTCATCTTTAACGCCGAGGTCTCTAAAAGCACGTTTAAAAGGGAATTAAAACCATAAAAATTCATAATTCATGCAAAACATCTAAATAAAGATACACGGGTGGCAGAAAGTACAGAGCGTCTCTTTAAAATGTGACTCAGTTTAGTTCCAGTCGGCATCGTTTTCACTTTCGTACAACATAAAATCAAAAACTCACTGGCAGATTTGAACAGGATCCCGGTCATGGTTCCAGCCGCGATCGTGTTGATGTCGTCTTCTGCTCCTCGCACTTTTTCTATGGCCACTCCGAACGCGCTGTACAACAGAGCTGCACACACACACAACACACACACAACACACACAGAGACAGATATTAACTAACGTCGCTGTGAGGGAGTGTTTCAGATAATCACGTTCATCCTGAGTTCTGATACTGACCCACAGAGCCCAGAGAGTTTGCCCAGGACGCCCCCTGCCTCGTCACCATGTTCAGGATCCTAAACACACACACACAAACACACACAAACACACACACACAGGCAAGTTCAGAGCCGAGTCTCATAATGAAACGTGTCTGATTTATGAACAGACTAAACCGGAGACTCACTGCACGTTTCTGGGTTTGGACCAGGCCATGTCTCTGGTTTCCTTCAGGCCCAGTCTGAAGCCGTTCACTGCCCCCAGAGCAGCTCCTGCGCAAAACAAACACAGCAAACACAATATTCAAATAAAACACGGATTAGTCTCACACAGAACTACAGTATAGACAGGAGAAAACTGCCACAGAGAGTTTTTTCCATGTGTTTACATTTAGAAACTGAATTACTAATGTTATTGTTATTATTATTATTATTATTATTAATATGTATAGTTGCTGTTAAAAAATTAATCTCCTTCGGGGTAATAAAATATTATCCGACAGAAGAAGAGTGAAGTTTTTTAACACTTCTTGAGAAGCTTTAGATTTAAAAACAGAGCAAAAATTAAATCCCACCACCAGGACTGATCGACACACAGCAGCAGATAAACTGTTTACGTCTCAACTCCAAACCTGAACAGAGTGACTGAAGAAACCACAATATCAGGACTATTTCAGGACTATTTCAAGACTAAACCAGGACTAAACCAGGACTAAACCAGGACTAAACCAGGACTAAACCAGGACTGAACCAGGACTGAACCAGGACTGAACCAGGACTGAACTAGGACTAAACCAGGTCTAAACCAGGTCTATTTCAGGACAAAACTAGCACAAAACCAGAACTAAACCAGGACTTGAGGCCTGAGTGAAGTGCCTTGCTCAAGGACACAGCATTAGTGTTCATGGTCATGGCAGGTCTCCAAATTCAAAGTGTTTTTTTTTGTTTTTTGTTCAAGTTTTAAACAGTTTTGTTAAAGTTTGCTGCTTCCTCACCGGTCATACAGGAGCCTCCGATGGTGAAAAAGGCCAACTCGAACCTCCCTCGGGTTTTATTCGCTCCGGTCGGTAAAATGAACTCATCTGTGTCCTGAAAACACAAAACTAATCTTCAGTAAAACTCTCAACACTGTCATTATGTCATTTGAAAAAGCTCAGATCATCCGCTCTTCTGTTTAACACGTTTTATCTCAGCGAGTTTAGACAGAACCACGTTTACAAAACACTGAAACTGTTGACTTTAAACACTTTAAACACACAGTTCAATCCTTGAGAATATTTCCACAGAGTCGGTTCTCACCTGGACCAGGTACCGAGGGTCGACGTTCAGGTACGGAGAGAGAGGACTCATCCCCGTCACTGAAACAGAGAGACAACACAAACACGTTACATATTTACATATTACACACACAAGAGTCAGTCTGCAGCTGTGATCAGTGAAGGAACAGAAATCTGGAACAACATCCAGCTACAATAAGAGACTCCACCACATTCAGAACATTTAAAACTAATTTGAAATGACGGCGTAAGAGAAAGCAGATCTGTGTCACCAGTGTTCTGCTCCTGTGTAAACGTCACTGTTGTGTGTCGTGTGAGTGTTTGTCTATTGTGACGACTTTTATGTTCTCACGTCTCTGTCTCTCTGAGCTGCAAGAACTACAGATGAAAGTCGCCTTCGGGTTAATTCTGACGTATTTACAAGTTTATGTTCATGAATATACACTGTCCTTTTAAATAAAATAAAAAAAACATGTTATAAATATAACAAATATTTATAACGTAAATGTACAAAACACTTCATCTGGTAACAAATTATTATTATTTTTTTATACTTTCAGAAATTACACACAATTATATTTAAATGAGAACTGAACCAGGTCTAAACCAGGTCTAAACCAGGACTAAACCAGGACTAAACCAGGACTAAACCAGGTCTAAACCAGGACTAAACCAGGACTACACCAGGACTACACCAGGACTAAACCAGGACTACACCAGGTCTAAACCAGGTCTAAACCGGGACTAAACCGGGACTAAACCGGGACTAACCGGGACTACACCGGGACTAAACCAGGACTACACCGGGACTAAACCAGGTCTAAACCGGGACTACACCGGGACTACACCGGGACTAAACCAGGACTACACCGGGACTAAATCAGGACTAAAACAGGACTAAAACAGGACTAAAACAGGACTAAAACAGGTCTAAACCAGGACTAAACCAGATCTAAACTAGGACTAAACTTGAGTATCATAAATGTAATTTGTTTCTGTGTTTTTAGTGTCAGATTTTTCTCTGACAAACACGTGAGTCGAGATTGAACAATGTCACGCGCTTTTTCCACTATTTTATTTATACCAAACATCCAAACCAACCCGGTGTGTCACAGTTTTTACTTTTATAAATATTTTCACCCAGACGTTTCCATAGTTACGCAATGTCCCGGAGTGTTCAGCATCGGGGCTACGGCGGTGGAACATGACGGGGACTTACGCGGGACTCCGGACAGCTCCGTGTTTGAATAGTCCGGGGATCCGCCGCTGAACAGCCCCCCCAGGCCGCCCTTAAAGCCCCCGCGCCCGCAGAGCTGTTATCCATCACCAAAAACACAAAAAAACACAAAAAATCCAACAAAACCAAAGACGCGAGGAGCCGGCGCCAAGCTAATGCTAACGCTAACCGCTAGCTCCCGATCACGAAATGTGGAGATTTCAATCGGATTTCCGCAAAGTCACTCCTCCAAACGCGCCGCAGTCCGAGGTCCGGGTTCGGGAAAAGCGGTACGGTTAAAAACTGAAGTGAAATCCCGGTCGTGAAGTGCGTAAATGTTCCGTTATAGAGCTTTAGTGCTCATGTTTGTGTGACCTCTGCGGCAGCACGCGTGTCCGCTCCTCCGCGCTGACGTCAGACGCACGGGCCGGAAGCGCAGCGCAATCACAAAAAATAAAAAATAAATAAAAGTGAATTATTTATTTTTTACATTTTAATCCACTGTGCAGCTAAATAATTATGAAACAATAAAAAGAAGCAACTCTGAAAGAAAAATAATTACATGTTAACAAAATATACAGTTCTCGGACTTTTATCAGCGCGTGAGTTGTGTGCTCCCATGTGTTAAGTAATTTTATTGGTTTTATTTATTTATTGCTATTCTGTGGTTTTGATCTTATTTTATTTTACGGGTTTTATATTTTAAGACTAATATCATTAAATCTGAACTTTATTTTATTATTATATTAATTGTATATATTTATATTAATTATATATTATATTATATTTTATGACATTTTATGATATTATATAATATTATATTATATTATATTACTGTGTATTTGTGCAGCCCTTTGGATAATAATGGAGAATGAGGCTGTAAATATCGGAAATGAGGAAATGAAAAAGATCTGTGCAGAAATATTTTACTGAACGTGACAAACTCCTGCGTGTGTGCGTGTGTGCGTGTGTGCGTGTGTGTGTGTGTGTGTGTGTGTGTGTGTGTGTGTGTGTGTGTGTGTGTCCACCAGAGGGCAGCAGATCACTGACACTAACTCGCTCAGACCGAGGAGCCAGACCCTCACGAGACTTGGTTTAGTCCTTTTTCAGATCCGGTTTAGTCCTGGTTTAGACTTAGTTTAGATTTTTTGTTTGTTTGTTTGTTTCCTTTTCTTTCTTTTTTGTTTGTTTGTTTGAGTAAAGGTCCATCACAAACATAAGGATGTGTGCATGTTCATGTTTGGGTCATTTCTGGTGCTCAAAAGGAGGAGGGTGAAGTTTAAAAAATGTGTCATGTCCCACCACAACTGTTTTATGTTAACACGCTGTGGTGTGTGTGTGTGTGTATATGTACATATGTTTGTACACACACATATACACACATAACACGTACACATAAACACACACACATCTGCATAAACACATGTAAACATACACGCACACATATATTTTCGTTTGTGGTTGTGTAAACTATAATAATGATAAAGAAGGTATAAAAGTTGATGTTTATGATCGTACAGAGTCGTGGCTTTGGCCTCAGTTCTGTTTTATTCAGACGCTTTAACACTTATAAAGTGTAAAATCAGGGTAAGATTTTTACAAGCTTCTGTCATTTGTTTTATGTTTTGGGCACAACAGAATTTTATTTTTAAAAATGCTAAAAAACTAATTTTAGTTTTGAAATCTTTCTGTGCACTACTGCCCCCCTCCCACACACACACACACACACACACACACCCTTTACCCCCCCTCGCTCTCTCTGCCCCCCTCCCTCCCTCTTCACCCCCGTCCCCTCTCTGTGTTGAAGGAATGCTCTGTGCTCTGTGCTGCTCCGCTCTGCTGTGGCTCTGTGCTGTGGCTCTGTTCATTTGTTTATATTGGAGCATTGTTCACACAGAGACAGAGAGGGACAGTCTGCATCAGCTGGACACTGTCCACACAAAGACCCATTCAAGTCCGGCTCTGGACCGGGTCTAAACCAGGACTCAACCAAGTCTAAACCAGGACTGAACCACGAGTGTACCGCAACTAAACCAGGACTAAACCAGGACTAAACCAGGACCAAACCAAGTCTAAACCAGGACTGAACCACAACTGAGCCAGCACTAAACCAGGACTAAGCCAGGACTAAAACCAAAACCAAACTGGAACTAAACAAGAATAGTATTATAATATTAAACCAAGTCTTAACATTACCCAGAGCAAGACTAACAAGAAACCAGGTCTAAACCAGGTCTAAACCAGGACTATAAACTGCACTTGACATTTTAAAAGTGTAAGGTTAAAGGTTCACTCCCTCCTCTTCTTCACGCTGCTGCCTCTGTGTTGTTGGGCAAGACACTTCCCTGTGGTCTGAGTAAATCTCTGGGTTCATTCACAGAGGCCCTGAGATCACTCTTATAAATTAAACCTCAAAAATAAACCGCAACATTGACTTTACGCTCCGGTCCGAGGGCCCCCGGTCCGAGGGCCCGCGGTCTGAGGGGCCCCCGGTCCGAGGGCCCGCGGTCTGAGGGGCCCCAGTCTGAGGGGCCCGGAGGAGCTCACAATAGTCTAATGTCTAAAGAAGTCTAAGAAGAGAAAAAAGACTAAAACCAAATTAATTAGTCCTGGTTTAGACCTGGTTTAAACCTGGTTTAGACCTGGTTTAGACCTGGTTTAGACCTGGTTTTCCTGGTTTACCTGGTTTAGTCCTGGTTTAGACCTGGTTTAAGTCCTGGTTTAGATCCTGTTTAGTCCTGGTTTAGTCCTGGTTTAGACCTGGTTTAGAAAAAGACTAAAACTCCATGATTAAAGAGGAGTTTTTACTTCTCTGGAGGTTTAAAGTTCCTGTATCACACAAGCTGCTCTGTTCCACCTTGTGATGTCATGAAGTGAACAGCTCCTTTCCCTTTAGTTCAGTCGAGATCGGCAACTCCAGAGCTGAAATGATCCAGATGATTCTAGAGAAGGTGTGTGGAGTTTAAAACCACAGAGGCAGAGGTTTTTCTCCAGATGCCCTCAAGCACATTTTTTTTTTTTTAACTTTTTCCATCTGTAAAGTTGGATTTTAATTTCCTAAAATGATAAATTAAACCTGAGCTGAATCTGAGTGAGTCTGGGGTGAGTCTGGGTGAGTCTGGGTGAGTCTGAGTGAGTCTGGGTGAGTCTGAGTGAGTCTGAGTGAGTCTGGGTGAGTCTGGGGTGAGTGTGGGTGAGTCTGAGTGAGTCTGGGGTGAGTCTGGTGAGTCTGTGAGTCTGGGGTGAGTCTGAGTGAGTCTGGGTGAGTCTGGGTGAGTCTGAGTCTGAGTGAGTCTGAGTGGGTGAGTCTGAGTGAGTCTGGGTGAGTCTGGGTGAGTCTGGGGTGAGTCTGGGGTGAGTCTGGTGAGTCTGGTGAGTCTGAGTGAGTCTGAGTGAGTGAGTCTGAGTCTGGGTGAGTCTGAGTGAGTCTGGGTGAGTCTGGGGTGAGTCTGAGTGAGTCTGAGTCTGAGTGAGTCTGAGTGAGTCTGGGTGAGTCTGGGGTGAGTCTGGGTGAGTCTGGTGAGTCTGGGGTGAGTCTGGGTGAGTCTGGGTGAGTCTGAGTGAGTCTGGGTGAGTCTGAGTGAGTCTGGGTGAGTCTGGGTGAGTCTGGGTGAGTCTGAGTCTGGTGAGTCTGAGTGAGTCTGAGGGTGAGTCTGGGTGAGTCTGAGTGAGTCTGGTGAGTCTGAGTGAGTCTGAGTGAGTCTGAGGGTGAGTCTGGGTGAGTCGTCTGGGTGAGTCTGAGTGAGTCTGAGTGAGTCTGAGTGAGTCTGAGTGAGTCCTGGGTGAGTGAGTCTGAGTGAGTGAGTCTGGGGTGAGTCTGAGTGAGTCTGGGTGAGTGAGTCTGAGTGAGTCTGGGTGAGTCTGGGTGAGTCTGGGTGAGTGAGTCTGGGTGAGTCGGGTGAGGGTGAGTCTGGGGTGAGTCTGAGTGAGTCTGGTGAGTCTGAGTGAGTCTGAGTGAGTCTGGGGTGAGTCTGAGTGAGTCTGGGTGAGTCTGAGTGAGTCTGGGGTGAGTCTGAGTGAGTGAGTCTGAGGTGAGTCTGGTGAGTGAGTCTGAGTGAGTCTGGGTGAGTCTGAGTGAGTCTGTGAGTCTGAGTGAGTCTGGGGTGAGTCTGGGGTGAGTCTGAGTGAGTCTGAGTGAGTCTGGGGTGAGTCTGGGTGAGTCTGAGTGAGTCTGGGTGAGTCTGGTGAGTCTGAGTGAGTCTGGTGAGTCTGGGGTGAGTCTGAGTGAGTCTGAGTGAGTCTGAGGTGAGTCTGGGTGAGTCTGGGTGGAGTGATCTGGGTGAGTCTGGAGTGAGTCTGGGGTCTGAGTGAGTCTGAGTGAGTCCTGGGGTGAGTCTGAGTGAGTCTGAGTGAGTCTCTGGGTGAGTCTGGGGTGAGTCTGAGTGAGTCTGGAGTGAGTCTGGTGAGTCTGGGGTGAGTCTGGGGTGAGTCTGGTGAGTCCGGGTGAGTCTGGTCTGAGTGAGTCTGGGTGAGTCTGGGTGAGTCTGGAGTGAGTCTGGGTGAGTCTGGGTGAGTCTGAGTCTGGGGTGAGTCTGAGTGAGTCTGGGTGAGTCTGGGTGAGTCTGGGTGAGTCTGGTGAGTGAGTCTGGGTGAGTCTGAGTGAGTCTGAGTGAGTCTGGGTGAGTCTGGAGTGAGTCTGGGTGAGTCTGGGGTGAGTCTGGGGTGAGTCTGAGTCTGGGTGAGTCTGAGTGAGTCTGGGTGAGTCTGAGTGAGTCTGAGTGAGTCTGGTGAGTCTGGGGTGAGTCTGGAGTGAGTCTGGGTGAGTCTGAGTGAGTCTGGGGTGAGTCTGAGTGAGTCTGGTGAGTCTGAGTGAGTCTGGTGAGTCTGGGTGAGTCTGGGGTGAGTCTGAGTGAGTCTGGGGTGAGTCTGGGGTGAGTCTGAGTGAGTCTGAGTGAGTCTGGGTGAGTCTGGGTGAGTCTGGTGAGTCTGAGGAGTGAGTCTGAGTGAGTCTGGTGAGTCTGGGGTGAGTGAGTCTGAGTGAGTCTGAGTCTGGTGAGTCTGAGTGAGTCTGAGTGAGTCTGAGTCTGGGGTGAGTCTGAGTGAGTCTGAGTGAGTCTGGGTGAGTCTGGAGTGAGTGAGTCTGGTGAGTCTGAGTGAGTCTGGGTGAGTCTGGGTGAGTCTGGGTGAGTCTGAGTGAGTCTGGGTGAGTCTGGGTGAGTCTGAGTGAGTCTGGGGTGAGTCTGAGTGAGTCTGAGTGAGTCTGAGTGAGTCTGAGTGGGTGAGTCGAGTGAGTCTGGGGTGAGTCTGGGGTGAGTCTGAGTGAGTGAGTCTGGGTGAGTCTGAGTGAGTCTGGGTGAGTCTGAGTGAGTCTGAGTGAGTCTGAGTGAGTCTGGGGTGAGTGAGTCTGGGTGAGTCTGGGGTGAGTCTGAGTGAGTCTGAGTGAGTCTGGGTGAGTCTGGGTGAGTCTG